GGCACCCGTGCGGTCCCTGCGGAGCCGTGCTCCTGCCCCGGCCCTGCTTCCCCAGGAGCTCCCAATTCATGGGCTCGTCTGTGCCTCCGCCAGGCTCAGCAACGACCGTGACCACAAGCAACCTTAAAAGAATGTTTGTTTATTGGGGTAGGGGGTTCCCGCCATGGGTGGCAGGGGGACGGGAGAGCAGGGCCTGTGGCTGCGGGCCCAGGGAACCCCCGTGTCCCCCTCCCACAGTACAGACATGCAGGTATTTATAAAAGAAAGGCAGACGGGGGACCGGGGCTGCGTGGGAGAGCTCTGCTCGGGCGGCATCTTCCCTAGAGACAAATAAAAAAATACAGCCAGGCCAGAGGGTCACGGAAAACCATCGTCATCATCCTCTGCCATCTCCTTTGCGAACTCCAGGTCCTGCTGCTCGCGCTCCCGGCGCTCCTGGAAGGCAAAGGCAGAGGTTGGTGGCAACTGCGGGAGAGGAGCCGCGTCCTCCCCGTGGCCTCGGGGGCTGCAGCGACCCAGACGAGATCTCACCTCTGCAGATTCCAAGTCCTTGTTATAAGATTTGGGTGGGAACCTCATGGCCTGCGAAAAAGAAGGGAGAGGAGAAGCTCTGAGCTGAGAAACGCCTCAACGCTGCCCCGCTGTCCTCTCCAGCCGGGCCCTGCCACCCCCCTCGCCCGGGGACCCGCTGGGCTCACCTTGACGGACATGTTGTGGATGTCGAGGCAGAAAGAGATGCGCTGGTGAAACGCCAGCTGGGGCTCCCGGGTGGAGTAGATGTCAATCATTTCCTTTGACTGGACGTAGCCCTTCTCATGATTAATGCTGGCCTCGATCACGCCATCCCGAATGGCCTGCAAGCCGGAGGGCACGTGGTCAGGGCACCCGCTGTCTCCGAGGGCTGAGGCAGCAGTTTAGAGTGAAGGGAGGAGCTGGCTGCTGCGACAGGAGCGGTGGGCTCAGGACACAGTGCACAGAGAGGGGACTTGGTGCCCTGAGTGTCCCCAGCTGCCCCGGGAGGGGCCTCAACCTAAAAGCAGCGACTGCCCTGGGAAGGGAGTGCTGCAGGGGCAGGCACAGGCAGCCTCACAGGAGAGCAAGGCCAGAAATGGGGGGCTGAGGGCAGCCCAGGAGCCAGAGGGACGGGACTTTGCAGGCAGCTACCTTGGCGACAATGAACTCCGCATCCTCCGGACTGTCCAGCTGCAGCTTCTGGGCAATATCGGCCAGGGAGATGCGGGAATAGGAGAGGCTGATCATACGGACGCCTGCGGGGAGGAACGAGAGTGGAGCCCCCCAGGCCAGGCAGCCCCAGGCCTGCCAAGTCCACAGCACCCACCACGTCGGGGGCCCTGAAACATCACCACAGTGGCAGCCTCCTACCTGTCTTGATGACGTTGTGCCTGAGGCGAATGATCAGGGTGTAGGTACCGTCGGCCTGGAACTTGTCCCCAAACTGATCAAGGACTTGGTTGAACTTGGCCAGGTTCCCGGTCCTGACGGCTGGAGGGGAGAACACGTTAAATCGGGGAAGGAGGGAGGGCTGGGGGGCGGTGGGGAAGGCAAGGTAGGGCCTCCTCCTCCCCAGGCAGAGGCTGCAGCTGGGTTCCATCGAGAGCAGAGGAGAGAATCCCTGCCTTGGTCCATCCCCCCCGCCCCCCCGAGGGCTTCCCGCTCCCTCAAAGCGCAGGACGTGGTTGCGAGGGAGCGAGTGCGGGCGGCAGCGACCCATCGTACCCTGAGTCAGGAGGAAGTAGGGCATGAGCGACCGCTTGAGGGAGGGTTGTCTGAACTGAAGCCTGTCCGGGATCTCCCCAAGCAGCAGTTCCACCACGATGAGCAGCTTGTGCACCTTGAGCAGAAAGAGACGGGTGAGTCCCTGCAGGGCCCAACACTGGAGGCAGCTTCCCTGGGGACCCAGGAGGTACCAGACCCCAGAAGCTTCCCCTTCATGCTCACCGGTTGCTTGTAACCGTGTGCTGCGGTGCCTTCCGCAGGGCATTTGTCATGGTCCTCCGTGCCTCTGAGTACTCCAGCTGAATGGCCTTGATGCGCCCTGCGTTCACACGGGGCAGAAGGCGTTTGGAAAAGCCACCGAGTGAATCCAAGTGGATCCACCTGGATGGAGCTTCAAATCCTGCCTGGAAGCCCCATCTCCAGCTGCTCATTTTCTCTGGCTCCCCAGAGGCCTCGATCTCGGGTGCAGCCCGAGCTGCCGGCGCCATGCGGGACCCTCCGCATCTCACCTGTGTAATAGAGGTACCGAGCCCACTCGTTGTTGTTGGCCTGCTCAGGAAACACGGATTTGGAGACGAGCTTTTCCGCTTGGTCGTAGAGGTTGTAGTGGAGATAGTTCCTCAGCAACAGGTTCAGGAGGGTGGCCTGCCCGTCCGCGTCGTGGCGCAGTGTGGCTGTCCGTAGCCGGGCGTGCAGGAAGCTGCAGGAAAGGGAGAGAGCGTGCCAGGGAGGAGGAAAGAAACAGCCCTACTCACCGGGGCACATGGGATCAAGCTCAGGGAGAGCCCGCAGGCAGGATCTGCCCTACCTCCTGACCACGTCGAGTTTATTCAGGAATTCATAGATGCGTGAGTGGTAGTAATAACATTTTGCCACTACCAGGTCAAGGGCCCGGCGGTTTTGGGAACTGATCTTCTGCATCAGGTCATCGGAGACTTTCTGAGCCTGCAGGAGGGGAAGAGAGGTCAGAGCAGAGGAACTGCTGCCCAGGAAGAGCAGAGAATGCCAGGGCTGTGGGACTGAGCCCAGGGGCTGCCTCCAAATGCAGCTGAAACAAAGGGGAAAGCATGAGGCCACAGGTCCCCGAAGCTCTCCAGACCCTGCCTGGTGCAGGAGCACCACAGGAAGAGCTCGGCTTCAGAGCTGGCAGCTCAGGGAATCTCACCTCTGGGTATCGTTTGCTGTTCATCAAGTAGATGACGAGAAGCAGTTGGAGGTAGGTCTCCACTTCCGGCAAGAGAGGGGCTGAGGCCGCCTTCCCCGTCCGCGGGCGAAACTGCAGCTCGGCTTCTGTGTCCATGGACTGGGGGGAGAGAGACGTGCTGGACCCCTGGCCTTCCTGTGTCGCTACCGCCCGCCCAGCCGCTCCTCATGCCTCTGCCTGCAGTGAGCCCCGTCCCCAGCCTGGTGACAGCTCTGCCTGAGGTGTGACAAGAGGGCCAGCCCAGGCTGCTGGCACCACAGTCCCATCCCTGCAAAGAGCTGCGAGGACCCAGCTCATCTCACACATGCTCCCAAGCAGCCAGGCTGCGTGTCCCAAGCATCCCCAAGCCCTTGCTGGTCCCGGTGCCCTCCCGCCCCGCACAGCAGCACTCTGGAGGCTCCTCGGTGCAGGAAAGGTGTCACCTCCATAGCCAGTCATCTCTCCCCATCCCCAGCTGCCGTACCTCCTCAAGGAAGCCGAGGAGAAAGTCCCGCATGGTGCTGTTGGAGGTGAAGAAGCCATTGATGGCTTTGTGGAGCACATTGGAGTTGAGTCGGCGGGAGGTGGAGGGCAGAGCCCGCAAGGCACGCAGGACATAGCGCGGCTCCTTCCCCGACACAGCCTTCTCCAGCTGCTTCACGTGCTCTTTGATGTCTGCAGGAGCAAAGGGACGCGCCGTCAGCACGCGTCTCCCAGAGGCCTCTGCCGAAGGAGGCACAGAGCGAAGCCAGCACTGGGATCCCTCCAGGTACCAGGCGCCCCATCCTGCTGCTGTCAGGTCCCTCCACCCGCTTGTGGCACCGGGGCTGTGTGGCCTCAGTGTCCTGCGTGACCCAACCCGGCCCCGCAACTGCCCCTGCTTGGAGCAGGGGGCTGGACAAGACCCCCTGGAGTTCCCTTCCCCCTCGTTCCCCCTATGGGCTCCAGCTTCCCCTCTGCAGCCCCGTGGGGTCCCACCACAGCATCTCTGCAGCTCCCCCTGCCCCTCACAGCTCATCCTCCCAGGGGTTCTCCCAAAACCACACCTCCCTTCCCCTCACCCCCCTCCCCAACTCCTTCTCCCTGTGATCCCCATTATCCTCTGCCAACACGTTTTCCATCACC